AGCTTTGACATGTATGTGAAATATTGTATGCCTATTACTTACTAAAATGTTATATCACAAAGTATGAGGTTACTATTCAAAGCTCTTTCATCTCCGTATTCTGAAGAATGTAATGACATATAATTGCCTGTTAATCAGTAAAGTAAGCAGTACATGTATTGCTTTCCAACTTCCAAGGCTTTGTATGCAGTACGCCAAAGCAACTAATTAGAAAATCAGCTTGCTAAAAGGGCTTTGGCTGAAAATGGATATTTTGCCCGATTACTTTTATATGAGAAAAAAATTGTCAAACTGGTTGAATTGATTCTGAACTAGAAAAGTGTTGTCACTTTGATGATCCCTTCAGTCCAAATTAAAAGCTTAGATGTTGAAAGCAATTTTGTAGTTTTTCTAATACAAGAGGCGGACGTCTGACCATATTTCATCTATTAGAGTAGTTCTCAACACAAGAAACATTTATTGACACAGACACGTCCGAAGTCCTGTGCCGCTCATTTAAGAAGTACATGTATTTCGTCTGAATTTTATTCTTCATGAAAATTATGGACATCTTATAAAATGATATACATAAATACTTTGGGAATTATCATGCCAACATTATCATCAATTAACTTAATTGTAATGATTGTTTTAACTAGAATAGTACATGTGCATGTACATGAGATGTACACGTATAATCAGTGTACTGGTATTACATGTAGCTAGCGAGCTGTGAAGGTCGTGATAGCACAGCCAGTTGTGAAAAAAAACACGGGCAGAATTTTCAAGCACTGCTTGTACTTGAAGTTTCAAATCAGCCTGGGAAGTTCAAACTCCTGTGTCCTTCCTCTATGGTTTCATGAAGAATTATATCCGCACGTGCTTAACCAAAAAGGGAACCAGTCCGTGTTCATCTCTCACATCGCGGTGATAATGCTGGTTCCTACTGGCAAAGCTGGTGCAAAGGATATGGGAGCACGCACCGGGAGCCAGTGACTTCTCCGATGACAGAACTTTGACAATATGCAGTCATTGAACAATCAGTACTGTACATACTTTATTACTTTACATGTAGTTTTGAACATACATGTACATGTACAGTACCATCCAGCATGCATTTCACAGCTCAGCAACTGTACCAGTAGTCCTGAACAACTACTGGCAAAGCGACTGTTTTTTCCAGTCAGTAAATCGAAAAGGTGTTTTTTTCTACACTTGGCCTACATGTAGGTCAGGGCCAAGAAGAAACTCGTAATTTTTTAATTGACTCTTGTCACGATCACCTATTTTATTTCTACTGTGCAAAAAAAAAAATATCTACTTGTGATGCTTAGCCAAGCCATGCTTGTACTGTCTGCTTACATGTTCCTTCGATGCTACTTGATTAATAAAAGCAATTTTTGGGGGGCGGAATGGGAGGGTCTTTCAAGGTCATGATACCAAACTGGTCTTCACTTGAAATTGCCTTTCAGTCTCAGAAAGAGCAAACCAAATCAGGCTAATTCTTAGTGCAACTGTATTTTGAACCTTTTGGGTACCAGTACGTGTATTTTGTTAACAATTTGTGTTATTCTTTGTAAAAAAAATCAAACCATTTTAGCTCTCTTTTATTTGCAAAATATCAAAAATATCTAAGAGACTAACAAAGACGATATAAAGAAGCTTCTATGGCTCTGAAGTTGGCCCTCACCGGCCCTACAGACTTTGCACTGCTTGCTTGTTTTGTATGTTTCGCATATATGAATTCTTGGCTCTTCAAGTTGCACTCCCACTGTCCCTAATCCTACATGTACAGTGTAGCTCAAACCCTGTGTATAATTCAATGTCTTTTTATGTCATCATCATGAGGGGAGTCGTCACTGCCACCAAATCTAGTCTTTCTCACTTACAATGGCATTACTAGTGAAGTAAGGTGTGGGTTGGATGCACAAGGGTCTGTCCACACTAAAAGACACATTTACACATACATGTAACAAAAATCATCTCTTTCTTTAACCCTAACCCTCCTCAATCCTTCACCTGTTGGAGAACTGAGGAGTGTTAGGGTTCACAGTGTTGAGAGACAAGAAATCAACTTTAACGATTTTATTTGTATAACTGTAGAGATATAGTTTACACAGTTAAACAGGATTTGGTTGTTTGTTGTTAAAATAATCAGGATTTTGATGAAAATGTCCAGCTTATTTTAGGGGTTGCAGTGGACATGCACATAACTGTTTTAAACTCAGGTCTTTCAGGTTATAGATCTATATGTAAAATACAGCTCTCATGGAGAAAAGCAATTCATCTGTTTAAACATGGGAACTATAACATTTGAGAAATGTGCCAAAATCTATGGCTTTTTTTAAAAGTTATTTAACAGGAATTTAAGGAGAGCTAATTAAGGAGAAACGTACGTCATGGTGTCTGTCCAGAGTGACTATCATGAAACTGGCTGATTTTGCCATTTCTTGAGCAGATAACCTCAACAAAAATACATATCTTCTGGAGAAAAGATTTTACAATAATAGTTTACATTATGTTTGTGGGTTTTTTTCAATCAGACGACAAAACTAAGACTGATTTTAGGAAAATATGTCCATGTGACAAACGTTATATCTTCGATAATAAACTTCTGTAATTTCTCAAATACTGCTCAATTTACAATATACATGTACATGTACGTGTATCTTTACTTATCTGTGGCAACAATCAGGAATAGTGAAGCCATACATGTACATGTACGTAAGCCAAAAATAATGGCCAAATTTTACAGTTGGAAATTTGCAATGAATGTCATGCAAATGTGTCTTTTAGTGTGGACAGACCCACATCCAAACAGAGGACAACCCACCTACATGTACAGGTACATGTGTTATCAACTGAGCATGATGTACTGGTAAATTAACATTCTGTGATGAGAGACAGTCCTTGGAGATGTCAGTTTGGCAGTTCCTTTGCAGACTCAAGCCTTTAAATGTCAAGCAAAAAATGGATAGAGAAAGATGTCACACACCCTCATAATACCCAGTCCTCTGCCTTTGCCACAGCCCCATGTTCAAATCACACAGCAGATTACTTGTGTTATCTCACTGTGCAAAGTGTAGCCTGCTAGGCACATCCATTTTTGTACACTTAAGCTATAAAAAAATTTAGTGATTTAGTGCAGCTTTAGAGTGGCTACCATATTATTTGCATATACTGGTACATGGACATGTACATGTATATTACCCAGTATCTGCTTCTTTTTTTAATAGGACGCATCATCAAACCATTACAATGTAAATGTGCATTTGTTTTGCTCTGAGAAAATAATGTGCATGAACCGGTATGTTACACACACATCCCAGCAGACAAATGTTACTACTTTTTGTCTGAGTCATACAAAATGCATACATGTATTTGTACAAACTACCACTACATGTAGGTACCGTACATGTAGGCCTACATGTCCACACATGTATGTTGTACTGCCAGTACTCATGGTACTGGTGCACTGTATTTCAACCACATTATTCAGAATTTATTCCATTTTATTTCATTATGTTCTACAAATGCAAACAAGAATTCAGGATGTCTGGATCAGGACAGCGCCAATGTTTCTTTGCATTGGGCAATGAGGAGGTACATGTAGCACTCTGTAGGCCCAGCCGTACAGTACACTATGGTGGTACCGGTACGTGTACATGTACATGTACATCAGTACAAATACATGTACATGTATGCCACAAATACACTGAGCAGTTGGGACAGACCGGTCTTCCCACTGACATGTATATATACATATATATGTACATGTAGCTTCTGCATAATCTACATGTACTGTAAATCTACACGTAGCATCAAGGGGTACCAAGAAGCTGCCTTGAAATGATGAGCCTGCCGTACTGGTACACACACGTACATGTACCTCACCAGTACAATGTAGACGTACATGTACCTCACCAGTACAATGTACATGTACATGTACCTCACCAGTACAATGTACATGTGCATGTGCATACACGTACATGTAATGATGAGGAGTTCTGGAATTTCAAGGACAATTTTCCTGATGACCTGCCTGTCCATGTACATGTATAACCACTTTGGATTTTATTATGAACTGTAACCAACTATAATCTTGATGTTTTCTTCATTGAAAAGAAATTTAAAAATATCTGACAAATCACATCAGAACTGTGCACAAATGTACGTACATGTACCAGTGCATACCGGTAGACATGTCTGCAGGTGGCATACATGGATATGGTATTTTTTATTTGATTTATTTGCTTTTCCACAATACAAACACGTACATAGATCCAAAGGTGGAACTCAGACAACTAGACTGTTGACAGAAAAAGAAAAACCAGTCGGCACACGTAGGAAAATCAGGGACAACACAAAAAAGTTCTGAAAACTACATGTAATTTCTGTTGCGGGAAGCAACCTGGTCTAATATACAATAGACATACACATATCCATACGTACATGTACATGAAAATGCATGGTTCAACCTTTCTACAATATAAATACGTGTGATTCAACAGCATGTTGAACAAGTCCTGATGAGTGAAGTTCTTTGCAAAAAAAAGCCCTCAGAAGTTCTTTGGAAAAAAAAAGCATGGATGGAAAAGAAGGATGCATGGAAACTCTACCATGTCTACTGACATTAATTAAACACTTCACGTCTTGAGTATTTTACTCTAAATTTGCACATATGTAGGAAAGTTTGTGTTTGCACACTATACATGTACATGTACATGTAGGCGTACACACTAATGTACATGTATACACTTATGAACAGAAGTTAGTCATCACACATTCACGCTGAACTTCACAGGTACACATACTGGGGAACCTGTAAGTTCTCAACGAAGGCAAGAAGACATTTCTAAACTCAAAAGCCATGCTGTTATGGTACATGTACATGTAGGTGCTACTGGTGCTTGTAAGAGTAGAACATCATTTACTCCAGCTCAAAAATCTTGACTTTTCAAAATATTGCCTGTTACTTTGTATCCTCCTGATCTAAAGAGTACACGCGTGAGAATACTTACCATTGCGGCTGATATCAAGCTCTGTCAGATTCATAAAGTTTCCTATTTCTGCAGGTAGCCTCTCCAGTTCATTGTCACTTAGTCCCAGCTTACGCAGATTTTGTAGCCGGAAAAATTGCTGAAAGTTTAACAAAAATTATATTTGCCATTACCATTTTAATTTCTTATTGTTCCCAACAAATTAAAATGATGCCAAAAAAATGACTGTGTGAACATGAAATGAATACATTTGGTTAAGTTGGAATTCAATGTGTTCCCCCCCCCGGAAAACCATTAAAACCTATTCCAGTGGCACAGATAATTTCATCACAAAAACAAATTCAGCTGACATTTTGAGAATAGTAATGAGACCACATAAACATTTTTACCATTTTTCTCAACTACTTTTTCAATAATTTTATTTTGATCAACTTGATAATCAGATTTACAATCCTAAATTCAAAACATAATTCACCACTCAGGGACCAAAGAAGCAACTAATCACATGCTTGCTGACAACCAGCATTTTCAAACATTTTGACACATGACACGGAAATCAAAAATTTATTTTTGAAATCTGTTCATAAAGTTTGGGTATTGTTTTAAAAGAAATTACAATTAAATTTAAAAAGAAATTACATGTATGAGCCAGTTTGGCTCTCTAATAGCATGAGCCCAAAATAAAGCACTTAGGAAGTCATTTGAGGAGAGCAATGCATGCAAAGTTGGTCCTCTCAGAGTGGCCGATACACTGACACAAACTTTGAATATGGTCCAGCTGGAGGGCTTTGTTGTTGAATGAATTTGCCTTGCCTTTTTGAAATACCACAAAATGGCTCATAAACTTGGGCAAGTTGGTCCTTTCATGCAGGAAACTTGGAAATTCAGAAATGAATTTGGATTCATTGAGAAATGCTTTGGTAAAAGCAGCATGGCACAATGACCATAAGCCTCAAGGTTGAGTGTAAATCACAAAGAATCTTGTTGGCTTTGGTAATGTGTGGTAGGCACTAGCAGAATGTATACAAAGTGTCCCATGGAATGTAACACTTGTGGTAAAACACCATTTAGCTCTATCATTCAATAGTCTACTTTTTAAGGGAAAAAATGATTTTACAGATTTTACTGTTGCTTCAATTGTTTAAGAGATGCCTGCGTGTACTTGTACCGTATGTGCCTCTTGCAATCCTGAGAGTACATACATTGTACATGTACACTGTACATGCCAATCAACAGGCTAAAAAAAGCTCTTGCAAAATATATGTACAATCAGACAGCACAGTAACATTAACCAAATCTAATCTCACCACAACATCCCTATGCTGGGCCAGAGAAAATATTGGCTGAGCAAAGGCAGTCATTGCAAGTCACAACCAACAACTCAAAAGACTTAGCTCACGAAACTGATAGAAAGGCAGAAAAAAAAGGCATGTGAGTGCTGTGTTCCAACTTCCAAGTAAACACCACACCATTTTGAGATACCCGTATTAGATGCAGTTTTTATTGCTGTGAATGCTTTTCTGTGTTTGATCGTACAGTGCGAAGTTGTCTGTACTCTGGCACAGGCAATCTCTTGGCAAACTTGAGAAAGTGGGTGACTACATTTAATCTGGTTTCCAGTAACCTCTCTATATATTCTGTATGTCAAAGTATGTTATGGAGCAGTCACCCATCTAAACGACAGCATAAAATCACTACAACATACAGTTTTCGGATTTTTGTCCTTTAATTTTTAGAAAAGAAGTCACTGCACAACACTGTTCCTAATACTAGGCCTAAACCTATTCCAATAAAAAATCACTTGTTTCGTTTCTTGCATAACCTGGTGAAAATGTCTGTAAATGATTCCTGCTCCCTCAAAAATCAGTCACCATTTACCAGCAGCATTGGTACATGTACCACAAGCAATGTGGTACAGGTAGCTGTTTGTTAACATGATGTGTCACGCATGACATGTCACAGAAAGGCGGGGTTGGGATTTTACATACACATGTATAAACTTCAGGTTGGGCGGGTCATGCTATTTAGCATCAATAAGAGTCAACGAGCATCAACAAAGCGTCAACAAATTATTAAAGTGCATTTCAGCAATTCTTTTCAATTTACAATATTAATTAGGCTCCTGTCAATCTGTCATATCTATCTCAAATGGTATTTCAGTGTTGAAATTTGAATTACAAAGTCGGGCCTGCTAGTGCAGCCCGACCGGCCGCAATCTTGTTTTCACATGGACAGCAGAGTAAAGAAAAATGGCAGCCTCCATATATCGTGAACAATTTTTGTTTTTCTGCGAGAATCTGGCAGCAAATTCGTCGTTTCTCCTACACAGTAGCAGGTCTTAGAGTCTCTAAAATATGATAAAACCACTTATAAATCTTTAGAGGGTATTTTCAAGTTGGTGGTGCTTTGTTGAGACTACTTGTGTGCGTTGACACTTGTTGACGCTACTTGTGTGTGTTGACACTTGTTGACACTAAATAGCATGACTGGGTTGGAGAGGTATGGGAAAACGTATAATCACAGCCTTTTCAATTCTGAACTTTAAGATGCCAACAAATCTAACAAAGCTTAAAAGTTAAATGGCACTTTCTTATCAAATATAGTTGCAATGGAAAAACATTACAGTACAAGGCTACATTGTTATAACAAGGTCCTTGGGACAAGGTACATGTGCATGTAGACCTGCCTCTTATTCTCAGTGATGGAACACAAAGAAAAACAAAGACTTAGGTACCTAAAATTGTTCTTATTAACCACATGCTGCTGGGTTCAATTAGAATTTGCACGACAAGTTCCTAGGGGATTTTCAAGATTTTCCGTTTTCAAAATTCTTCAGAAATTCATAACTTTATTTACTGGACATTTTACACCTGCACGAATGACTGTCTGATGGCTACTCCATCTGACAGGCAACATCTATTGATGCCAGAATATTTCAGCCAGGCCTGCCACCTAACAATGGTAAACAGAGCCCAGATTGTGCAGTATTAGGGCAAGTAGGATTTTGACAAGGGGTACAAGCCATTTTGAGTGAAACAAATTCATGGAAGCAAATGTATTGCCTATGGAAGGTACCTGGACTCTCAGACTATCGCCCGACCACGTCCGAATGTTAACCCTAACCCCCTAGGGTGTGCGTAAAATCATACTGAAATTGGAGGATTTAGGACTACAATTTGTAGGCATAGGCCTAGGCCCAGCAGTAGTAAACTAGTAGGGTCCAAGTTAATACTAGGACTAAGTTTTGATAAGGACTTTCTACACGGTGAAAGATATTAATTTTCAAATATATATAATCAGCAGATCAAGCATTGTCAAGTACACCCGATCTAAGATTCTCACCTTAGGTAGGTCTCTAATCTGGTTTGCATCCAGTAACAACTCTTCAAGGGTCCGTGAATAGCGGTACACGTCGTCAGGTACCGCTGACAAATTCCCGTGCCGGCGGTCCACAACATCCACATGCCTGTTACAGGCTCGAAACAATGGAATACAGCGGAACATGGCGGCAAAATTCCGCGTCTACAAAGAAAAAGAGTAAAGATCCAAGTCTCAGGTAAGCATGGGCTTTTACAAAGGGAGAACTGTAGAGAATTAACAGAAATCACGGCGATGAGTCCTCCGGATGGAATGTGTTAAGCGATACCCTACATATTCTCAAACAAGATGTCCGCCCTATGACGTCAGATAACAATGTAGACAAGCGCCCGCCTCGTAAGTAGGCACAAGATATTTAGTGTATGATAGAGCGCAGAGTTACAATCGAGGGATCGGTTACCAGACCGCAAGCGATCACGGAATGGGGGCGGTATGTGGAAATGTTTCACGCATGTCTGCATACTATACTGGTGCTGTTGAATCATTTTGCTTGGTTTCGCCAAAATCCAGTATTTCTCTGATGGGGACTGGCTTGCTTGTAACCCTTTGATCAACAATTGAAAAAGGGACAGGGGCAGTGTGCAACTGAATGAACTACGTATATTTGCAAACCACTGTCCATTTAGCTATATTATATAGCCGATTCCATTTTTTTGTTTGAAAGAAAATAAATTTTCAAATGGTCGGTTGGTTGTCAATATTTTTCAAAAAGACTAGTATATAGTATATACTAGTCTTTCTGAAAAATATTACAAGCCAGACGTGAACGGAGAGTGCATGAAGCGAAATTTTCTTTTGCTGGTGCCATTAGGGTCAACCTAAATAATTATGTCCATGTAGAAGTCTATAACTGCGTAAAACCAGCAATTTTCTACAACCGTGACACATGTGCCCAGACTCCAATTTATCAAGTCTATGGTGAAACGACCATTTGAAACTTCATATCCATCTTATAAAAAGTCCTTGTTAAAACCTACTTCATGAAGTCCGAAATTCGAAAACGGTATCGTCCAGAAAATGGGGGACAAATTCGAAGTGTTCCCTAACGTGTTGCACTTGAAAAAAAATCTCATATTAACATGAAAATTGTAAGAATTTTGAAGTTGATAAATTAGGATGAATCATTATTACTTCCACTCCCATGCCCAACTACAATCTGTAGGAAATTAATTTTTTTTATTATGGGGGATTTCATTGGAGTTCATTGCACACTTTGAAAAAAATCAGGCCAAAATATTGAGAGCTTGCAATATTTGAAGCTCACTTATTGTGAAATTTTAGGTTGAAATATTGCTCTGGCAAGATACTTCGCGTCAGAATACTTCAATGATATGGGGTATTGAAAGTGTATCCCCCACTCTACGGTATTTGTAACAAGTGGCCTTATAGTTCCACCTAACCCCCATAAAGTGCCTTTTTGCCCAACCGCCCTCAGTATTTTGTAACAAGTGACCTGTTTTCCCCAATAAGTGTACTTTTTACCTCCAATAATTTTGAAACAAGTGTCCTTCCCCCCAAACACGAGCGCCCAACTTGACTAGCGCACCACACACCGAAGTCAAAAGCGCCACCTATCGTCCACGATGTCTGCTTTGAGGATGAGCGTCGAAGTTATTCTTTGATTTTTCGGAGGTCAGCTGAAGATGAGAGTGTTTCACCTTTCATCGCGGACATCAAATGCTCCTTTTCAACCAACCCACCCCATCCACCCGTCAAAATGAACTTGCTACGCCACTACTGTCTTTTTCTTCGGGTCGCATGACGTAATTTATCTGAGCATTCATTGGATAGAGACTTATGAAAGAAGCTCAAAATCGTTAGAGCAATACTCATTTGAACACAACTACAGATAGTTAAGAATTATCGTCTAATAACATCAGTGCTGAAAATACAGTTCACACAGGGGCTGGTTCAATTATTCGGGATTACACAAATTAAAGTCATTATATTAGGCCTTATGCTTGACTTTTCCCTCAGATTGACAAGTAAAAAACACCCTCTATGGTCTTAATACGTCCAAAAACCACTGGCTGCACAAATACACGCGTGCGTTTTCTTTTCTGCCCATTATTTTTTATTGTTAAAAAGACATTTTGCAAAAAGAAAAGAAATCACCGAACAAATCTGCAATGGCGATATCACCAGATATCTTTCTTAAGATACCGGACTGTGTGTTAAATTTCACGCTTGTATCATCAAAGGTACAATGGAAAAGGGAGTAAAGGCAGGAAAAAATTATGAAAATGAAATGTTGGCACAGAAGAAAGAAATCGATGCTTGACACACACCACACGGCCAACTTGAAAATATGAGATTTTTAAACATTTTTGAACTGAAATTATTTCAAAATGGCGCCTCATTTCTGCAAAAAGGCAGAAAGGTTTATACAGACAGAAACATTGTGTTATAATTATGCGGTTCACTCTTTTCTTTGTCCCACTCTTCTCCCGTCTTGTGTGAGTGAGGTGTTTGAACAACCAAACGCCTCAATTCGTTAGGCAATGTTTATGCATTTAGCTATTGCAGTTGTTTTCACTTGTGTTTTAAATACCGACCCATCTTGAGCAGAAGCACCCCCTCATCGGTTGAACAGTGCCAGGTTGGGGAGTATGTTGCTGGTAGCGACGCCACCTTAATGCGTGCATTTCATGGTCGTTTGTGAACCAGCGAAACGCAGGTCCAACCACAGGAGCCTCTGCATTAAAATTTAATCTGTGGAATAGAGATAAGAAGTAAAATTGGCCTGAGACCCCTAGCTTTATTAGCTCGTCGCCCAGCGCCCAAAGAGGGCGCTGACTGAGGAGGGCTGATGGCTGTGATTGGCTACTTTGTGTACGACCTCCGACCGCGAGGTTGTCACTTCCCGTCGACAAAGCATAATTTTAAGCATTGGTTAGCCAGTAGCAAAGCTTTTGTATAAACGAAGGCGTTGGCTTATTATGATAAAACACAGCCTTGATACAATCACGGTAATTTATCTTCTGTATAATAAAAAATACAAAATATTGCGTTCACTAAGGTCAACACTAACCATGGTAAATCTTTATCCGGATTTTTTTTCTGTTTTACTATGCAAAGATATTCCTCTTCCCTTAATTAATTAAAATGATACGACTTTGATGCAAACCACTTTTTAAATCAGTCTTTATACATGTAATTGTTATATAATCACCTTTTCACACGAATTCATTCTAGTTTTTATCACTATATTCCGGAAGCTCAATACGTGTTTGGATGTTTAATTAAGCCTGTTTCCCCGTACATTGTGTATTTATAGTTTTTCTGTCTAATGTAATGTATTCACTGTGTAATGTTTGCTTTTGTCCTTATTTATTTGTACATTTCTAATTATCTATAAATTTATTTAATGGTTTTGATGTGAGGGCGTAAATGGAAAGCCGTTTAAATTTAACTGAAAGGACGACCCTAGTTAGGTATTACAATAAATAAATAAATAAGTTTGAATGGATTTGGCAAAAATACTAGAGGTTTTGCTTAGTGCTCATCTTTGCAGGTCAGTTCTGTTGTCCCTCTTTTGCGCATGCCCTGTGGAAGAAAAGCACTTGCCTGCAAAATGGCAGCCATGCAAACCCATTAATAACGAAAGGGATCATTAATCTTTCTCGGGGAAACAAAGTAAGCCCTTCAAAAAGTATTCCAGTCGCGGTTATTCTAATTAATGAGCCAGCCTGTATTCAAACAGCGCAAGCCAAAACTGAAGCACGTCCGAGGTTATTCGGACGAGTGTTTGAAGTCTGTGCTCTATCAGCAGGGCCCTATACGCTGACTCACGCGCATGCGTGAAATACTGAACTGGGTAATACTGGCGTTTTCAAGAGTTTGCAACGCATTGGCCAATCGTAATGCGCGAAATCTGTCGATCCGATGCACGTTTGGAAAGGGTCGACAGATTTCGCGGGTTTTGATTGGACAACGCGTTGCAAGCTCTTGGAGGCACACTACAGACCCTGAAAGTAAAAGGTCACCCAGCGAGCTTCCGGACCCCTTGCGTGGTCTGCCTAGTGGGCCGTCCTATCACGTTCGATAATATTTGGGGGAAAAAAAATCTTTACTTAAACCACCCCATGAAACACTCATGTTGGAATTTTACCTTTGTTTTCCTCAAGTAATATTTTGGAAAGTAACCCGCAGAAGGGTATAAAACGAATTTAATTAACGACCTCTCACGTCCGGCGATATCATACCTAGGTCTCCTTGTTCATGCACGTTTGTTTTCACTCGCCGTGCGTTCTTAAAAACGAGATTGTACAACCTTGCAAAGATTTACCTACCTGCAGTCGATGGGTTCAAGTTCAGATTCCGTTGAGTTGACATCACGCAGTTGTTGTCAGCAAAGGCTAGATAAAATATTAAAACCTTTCGTAAAAGTAGAATATTGCTTTATGTTTATTAGCTGATAAATTATCAAACTGTGCGAAATTTTCGATCTGTCTGTATTTGGCTTTTACCCACAGACTATCATAAAGTTTCAAACCGTAAATGTTCATTTGCGTACGACACTGCTGCATTGCATTGTTCTTCATGTATTTTAGATTTTTGGAAGTGATGGGTCATTTTTTGGCAGGATGTTTCTCTTTTAGATCAGGTAATTTTTCAGTTTTCAATAACTTGATATACTAGCAAATATTTTTCACAGCCTTTTTTCCAAGTTGGATTTTTAAAGAAGAAACTGGACGAAAAAATATTACAAATTCTAAAATCTTTACACGGTATTTTTGCTATCCAAGAGTTCCGGAAACGCGTCATCATGGGTCAACTTTCAGGCTTTATTGTGAATCGTCCGTATTAAGCAGCAAACATTAAAAATACATGTAGTGTATCACTAAACAGACCAAAAAAAAAACATTTCTCTAAAAAATGAATCTGTGCAAAATTCCGCATCAGCAAGCAAATAAGAAAGAACCGTAAGTTAAAAAAAGAATACAGCTACATGTATTATGGCGCAACCCCCGCGGCCGGCCCAAAACGTACGTACGTAAAGTGAAGCATCACCCAAAATAATGTTGAGAGTACGATATATTATCAAAAGTGTCTTGAACGGCTTCAGATTTTTTTTCCTCCGGGAATGAATTCCGATTACTCGAAAAAAAAAACCTGAAACTTAGCGGGTTCAAGTCACTAAGTGAAACAACAGGGAGTACATGTACATGTATATTCTGCGTACCGTAAGAAAGAAAAACGAGCAGTGTTTTAAGATACGTGTATTGTTTTGTAATATCACCAGCCAAAAGAATGAATGTTCATCGTTAATATTGGACTTGTTATAGACCGTTAGGTGAAGGCTCAAATTCGTTTGTTTCGTTCCAGCATAAATATGGAATAAAAGTACATGTACATCAAGCCCTTTCCTGCTAGAAATGATAATGAGGCAACCAGAACAATTCACATCAAGAGAGCCTATTGTTAGGACGGAATCTTCCTACGTCGCAAAATAAGTCTCAAATTTCCTCTTTTCGTTAGAATTTCATTTTGACTTCACTTTATTTTTGGGGGAACACTCATTGGAAAAGAGAATTAAATTCTGTGAAAACTAATGTCGAATAATTACCCCTATTTTCCTGCACGTAAATTAGGTAATTGATTGAAGGGGAAATTTTCACTGGTGCCGTACACCTTCGTACATAGCGTTTAAAATATAAAGATGACATAGTACCAGTTAAAAATACATTCCAAAGGTGCTGACGTTGCATATCACGTGGGTGAGTGTCATAACGCGGGACCGAGGCTGATCTTGGCGCATGTGCAGCATCGCCATTGTCCGTGAGGAAAGCAAGTTCTACCGCTCTTTACAACCAGCAAGCCCCAAATTTGTGGACATTTTGCCGACTTTGAACGGCACCTAGAGCAACAGTGTGACTCTTATCCCGTGCGGGGACACCTGAACTGCCACTTTTGGCCATTATAAAGTTTTACTTGGATATATTCGGAATTAAACCGGGCAATGTCTGCTGGAGTCGACCAGGTTTGTATCGCATTTTCCATCTACTTTTCACATTGCGTTTGTGGTTGTCAACTCAACCTTGAAAATAGCGGTAACACACAGCACACCGCGCCTCATCTCACTCAGTGCGGTACATGTCACTTCCGCCATCTTCAGATCTTAACGTTAGAGCGAAATGTTTGTTCCCATTTTAACACGTCTCTTTACCTTTTCCCCCTCGCTTTCCGCTGCATGGATGATCTTTGGTGTTCACAGAAGCCGAAATCCCAAAGGGCTCAAGGTGAGAATATGATGTGATTGTTACGTGAAGGATATGAAATTATTGCAAACTGAAAATTTTGTTGGAGTTGCCATTTTGCTGACTTGCTTTTATCGCAAGTCAAATCTAAGGAAATGACTGGCCTTTTCTCAACAAAATAAACCAAAAAGTTGGTACAGCTTCATTCAAGTTCCACAATCATGTGAGTGGAACTTGAAATCAGAGAAGTGAGTTTGAAATGGTCAGACCAGCATTGTACGATTGTAATAGACTAGGACCATAATATAGTTCAATGTGGAAGGCATCCAGCAGATACTTTTTTGGCATATTTCAAATTATGTATTTCTTGGAATGGAGTTGTGCTAAGAATGGGGGGCTATTTGCCCATATTTGTGATTGGTTGTATGTTAGTAAATCTTTCTTTCTGTTTTAACACTGAAAAACATCGGCCTTGAATTCACGTCAACAAACAGAAGTAATGGCTATTCACAATGTAAGGCCATCACTATTCCACCAGCCACATTGAATGTTTCAAATCCAGTTATGTGTTGAAACTAAATTCTACCAATTTTTTATTTTAAGCTTCAGATTTATTGCGTACATGCATACTTTTTAAAAACTGCCTCATTAAACCTAGGGGCCCAATGTTTCTTTGACATCCCAATTCATTACAACGGAAGAGGTGTTCAGTAGTTTCAGGTGTTCATATCAGAGTTTCATACACAGACATCACTCGTTTCCCTTGCAGTGGTTTACTGGCCATCAGAAAGTGATAACAGTCGCACAAAGTCAACTCAAGCAGGGAAAATAGGAAAGAACTTTCTTGGAAAACGCTTAAAATTGTTCAGACCAGTCTCACAGAGTTTGTGTCCAGGGTGTCAAGTGATGCCCATCTATGGAACTTTTTCTATAGTATATTTATCTTGTCCTGCTGGCTTTTCAGGCTGGTGCATGTAGTGACTGAACTCTGAAGCTATGACCATTGCCAATGATTGCATTGAGTTTAGATATTGCAAGTTATTGCAGATTGAAGAGGGCTGACACTTTTTGTCTTAATTGGATCTCTTTGGAACGGTTTGCCCAGAATATCACAGTTTAAGAATTTAGTTTTACTTGAAAGATGTGTTTTCGTTTCCATGTACTTTATTTTAATATCAGGAATTATCGTCAGAACAAAGCTTTACTAACTTGTTGCGTTTTTTTTTTTTTTTTGCAGTTCAAAATGGTCCAGTGAACCAAAAAGATGGTGTTTCTGATGAAGACTTTGAACGATACATGCAGACAAATCAAGCCAATCAGGTGTGTAGGTATATCCTGGATCATTCAGATCCGACTTTCGTGAATGTTGCTGGTATTTTCAAGATAACAAACTGACTGATTAGGAGAAAATTTTGCATAAGTCGTGTGATTTGGCACTGGGTTGCAGTCATGTCCCCCCTGTAATGGTCACTTACATCATGCCACAAGATGCTCTGCGTGACTTGTCAAAGTCACGTTCAGGCATGTCATGAGCAGTGAAGGCTGCCCATAATTGAATGGAGGTTGCCCATCTCTAGCAAGACCTTGATTTTGTGCGGCAGAGAAGTATGAGGGTCACAAGTACGGTAATGGTCATATATTTGCTGTTGTAACCAATAACTTCCATTGTGCTTTTAATAAGTGTGGCACACACACAAAAAATTTAAATTCAGTGTAGAATTTACCAGAAATTGCTTTTTTGTTTCAAGTGGAAAAACCGCTTTTTAGCATGCTGACTGTCAGCTGTTTTGAAAGGGAATAATAATACACCCACAATGCTGTGAACTTTAGAGAAAAACCTCCCAGCATATTGGACGGTTTTTTTTTAATTACACGTAGATTCAATTTCTCTCAACTTCATAGTTATATTCAACTGTTTTTCTATTTTTTACTGTAAAAAGAATATAGGAAATTTCCAAAGGTGGAAGTGTGATGTCGCCAAAGGAAGTGCTTTATTTTGTGGAGCACTGAGGAAAAACCAAGAGACAATGCATTGTCATTGTTGAAAAACGTGTACTACTGCCAAGGCATGAACTATCCCCTAGCAATCTTGTCACAAGTAACGTCAATGTACAATATATTTGTAGTTGGTGTAACAACGTGGTCTTCTCCATGCCAGCAGTCAGCATGTCAACAAAAACAGGTTACAAAATGAAATGTGTACCCTGTGGCTCTCCTGGTTTCCAATGAAGGGTTCAGCTCTTCAGCACTGACACATTGGCAGCTATAATGAGAATGTACATGAATTGAAAGGGTTTAGAGGAGTCCGCATGCCATCTGAATCAGATTGGGGAAACTCCAAACCCACACTTAAATGCTGCCTTTTTGGCCTGATGTGGTCTACCTGCATCGTACAATTGACAACTGAATGACTTGAATAAATGACAAATGAGCACCCTGGATTCAGAATGGGGAGAGAATCATTCAAAGTGATTGATTCTAAATTCAAGCTAACCCTTGTTGCCTGACGGGCCATCATTGACACACAGCAATTGACAGCTTTGCAAAACATAGCACTGTGGTGGTTGGAACTGTAGATATGCAGAAGTAGCAGTCTGTATGTTTCAAAGAGTGTAATAGATCACTTTTGAAAATGCACATGTCTTGTTTACGTTACAATGAATATGTGGTTAATAACAAATATATTTTTCCTACTGGTACATACACATCTCATATACTGGGCATGTTTCCAACACCAGTTTATCAAATGTTGGTCATAACAGTTTATAATTGGCATACTGAGTCCTCCAAGAATAAGTCAATTATCAGTAATTGTGTAAATGTACAATTTTTCTGCTTATATATATATGTACAGACATAGCTGCAACAAATTTTATAATCAAATTTATTTTTGGTGACAAAATTTCTAACCATGTTGTCCTTTTGTTCCCAATGTATTGCTACTCGTGGACGCTGACCATCCCAGGGGTACACCGCTCCCAATATGGCACCTACACAGGACTATATGCCAAGTTACTACCCATCCTATTCCTTCCAATACTCCATGCCTGGCAGTGAGACTACCTGGTCTACAGGAGGGGACTTCAACAACTTCAACTATGGGTATGACAGCAGTTACCCTGCGGAGAACTACTACAACCAGCCTGGCACTACCCCGCCATACTTGAACCAAGGCTTGAACTTCTTCCCGGGAAATGCTGACTTCATGACTGGATCTTGGGGTAACAGCTCTGCTCCAGGACCACAGGGACAGCAGCAGGTGACCTCTCGTAGCCAGCAGGCAGCGCAGGGGACTTCTTACTATGATTATGCCCGCTATCCCAATGCGTCTCAGCAGCCAGTGACGTCAGGTGGTCAACGTGGCTACCAGGGCATTAATGGACTGGACGGGCATGATGGGAAGGCTCATGGTATGAAGGCGGTTGAGCAGGGGATGGCTGGACTGAATATTGGAGCAGCTGGCGACAAGCAGACAGGGATTGGTGCGGTGATGACCCAGAACGCCCATGGAATGCGGTCAGATCAGGACATGGTGCGTGGACAGCAAGTCACCACATCCATGGCTCAGCAGGCTCCTCCTCCGGCAGTCTCAGCCCCAGTGGCAGCTGCCAAACCCCAGTCTTGGGCAGCTATTGCTAGCAAACCAGCAAAGCCTCAACCCAAACTGAAAACCAAGATAGGATCCCATGCTCCTGTGCCAACTCAGCTCCCACCCATGAAACAAACCATGACCATTGGCACTTGGAATGGTAATGACAAGCAAGGACCCAAGCCGGCGACCACTTCAAGCGCGTCCACCGTGCCGCCTCAGATGCAGCAAGCAACCCATTCCCAAGCCTCGTCCCAAGGACAGGGCGGTCAGGCCACTAAGCACCAAGAGCATGTGCAAGGAGAGCATAGTGGACATCATGGACAGCAGCAGCAGCAGCAGCAACAACAACAACAGCAGAGCCGTGCCCATCAGCAGTCCCAACAGCAAAGGAACCATGGCAGCAACCAACCCAATCAACAACAGCAGATGCAGCGCTGGAGTACCAGCACCAGTCATGGGAGTAGTAACAGCTATGCTTCTCATTCTGGCAGTGGTGGCGGTAACAGTAGCAGTGCCAGTGGAACTTCTGGAATGAGTTCCATGTCAGGGAATCAAGCTGGCAGTGGAGCTTCTTCCCAGCAGAGTAGCACACCCAGCCCTGTGCTGGATAAACTGCGCTCAGCTAATACATACAACCCCGGCGAATTCACACTGGATGTTAAGAACTCGCGCATGTTCATCATCAAGAGCTACTCAGAGGATGATATTCATCGCTCCATCAAGTATGGCATCTGGTGCAGCACTGAGCACGGCAACAAACGCCTGGACAGTGCGTTCCGTGAGCGCGCCAACAAGGGACCCGTCTACCTGCTGTATAGTGTCAATGGCAGTGGACACTTCTGCGGTGTGGCCGAGATGATGTCACCGGTGGACTACAACGTCAATACGGGTGTCTGGATGCAAGACAAGTGGAAGGGGCGCTTTGACGTGCGTTGGGTGTATGTCAAAGATGTGCCTAACAGTCAGCTGCGTCACATTCGGCTGGAGAACAACGACAATAAGCCAGTGACAAACTCACGTGACACTCAGGAAGTTTCGCTGGACAAGGGACGTCAAGTGGTCAAGATCATCCATGCATACCGCCACACCACATCCATTTTTGACGACTTTGGGCATTACGAGAAGCGCCAAGAGGAAGACACTGCACGTAAGGTAAATAAGAGCTTAACATTTCTCGGGCCTCAGCCTGAGCAAACTTGAGAAGAATTTTGGAAAGATAACCTTGTCTAGATACTCAACAAGACTAGGTAACGTGGAGCAAGACGGAAAGGTGATTTGTTACATAGTCTCCATCTAAGTTTGAAAGAAGTATGACAGCCATACATGTAAGTGCACATCTGAACAGACTGCTGTGCAATAAAGTCTATGCAGGTATGCACTAATTCGTTATTGGTCTTTTAACCCTAACCCTCCAGGATACTTTGGTTTGACACTCTGTCAGACACATCAGTCTGCATCATTTGTCATAGTGGCTGCCTGCCCAGCGTCACAAGATCCCACAGTCAATTCTGCCCAAGGCCAAACAGCGTGGGACTCTGTGGTTGCCAGTCACCACAAGATCCTACATTGGCATTGCTCAATGGGAATAGCTCCTATTACCTCAACATGGCCAGTTTGTTGGCCTTTATGTTGATTGGCCAGTGTGCAAAGTGCATCAGACTTTTTCACGACATACACTGTGCTGCATATGGCAGGGTTAGGGTTTAAAGTTTACACACAGCAATTAGGAAAGAAGTGATTTAGAACTTTGAATTGCAGAAACAACAGTAACGGTAATTTCAATATTGGCGGAAGCTTACTGTTTACTCTCACAGTTGGTCAACACGTCGAGATTGAAACATGTATATGCAATTGACACTATTTGTGCACTCGTAACACTGCTTTTTCTGTTGTTTTATTTTCTTCATAGCCCTCTGGTCGTGACCGTAGGAACCAACACAGGAACTAATCATGCGCTGTCGGGAATGTTGCCCTCAAGTGCTCAAATCGGAGCATTCGGAGTAATCCTATGAAAGTATCATTACTGAGGATCACGCATGAAGGACCCAGGAAACTTCACTTGGAAACATCAATCATCTCGCTGATTGTGATGTTCGCATTTAGAGAGAGGCAGTTTGCATCTTGTGAAGTTAACATAATTTAAAAAAAAACAAGTTAGTATTTTTGTCGTACCTTAATGGTAAAGGAACTCCCAAACTCTCTGGAAAAAACAAACAAAACCGTCAACTTCTTAAGTATTATGTAATGAACAGCAGCAACATGTGAAAAAACTGCAGAACTACGATAAGCACACAATTCGAATCAACAAGACTGAAGTAGTGATGAACATACATATGTAAGAGTGGTCGTCGTATAACCCTGTGTTGCATAATTATTGCTGGATAGCGGTGATGTTTTACATTATTTACTCTGTGGATATCTTGGATGGATGTTTTAAAAAACTTAATGGATAGTCAACTAAAGTACCTTTAATTGTGCTTAATGCTATTTTGCTTTTTGCTTCTTCAGTGAACTCTTAGAGAGTTGTTTGTTACTCGGGAGAAATAAACCCAAGATTTCAGACCTGGCTAAAGCAGGATTTTTTCTGGACCTCAGAAGCTGGGAAGATAACCCTGCTAGGAATTTCCACCAACAGAATTTTTTATGTTGTGATTTGGACTGATAACGCAACGTGTGGTTTTGCCATGAGGAGACATCTGAGATCACTCCAATTTTAAAATTGTGTTTGCACTCAAAGGGAAGTCATCAGTGCAAGTAAGAACGCGAACCTGTAAACTTACGAAATTCCTTGCACTTGTGTTTGTAAACACCAGTAAATATCTTAGACAGTCTCTAAAAAGCAAGAGTTGAAGTAAATGGTTACAGAGTTCAGACTTCAGTTTTTAATTGGATGGCTGGAGCTTGATCATGCATAAAGTATGGTGCTCTTGACGCCACCACCATGAAAGATATTGTCATCTGGTTATGTGGAGCCAGACCTGCAGTCGCCGTGGTTTCCTCAAAACACCACATTCACAGGAGCCATGGAGTCTTTGCTACCAGATTATGAACTACCTCGTCTGTGTTTTGTAGGCCTTGGATGGCTAGATTTTGCTGAAAAACACAACTGGTGTTCATCACTTCCAGGAGAGTTGCTTGACAAGAAATGTTGTATGTTATCCCACCCGCAGCACCATTGTTTACAAATTCTAATGTGAAGAAACTTCACTTTAAACGACAGACCAAGAGGACGAGGGGTTGTCAACATGACATCACAAATCACCAATGTAATGTTGACTTGAGAAGAGGCTTCCAGTCTTCTGCCATTACATTTACAGTTATGTATTGTCATCAGGTGAATGCTAACAAAATTTGAAACAATAGACAGTCCACTGTCTTCACATATATACTGTACTCATACAAATGGGGGGGGCGTAGTTGCCACCAGCTGGCACTTAAACATTCCCTCCCCTTATAAGGTTGTTTCCCAGGGTTTGTCCATTTTTAAATGATAGATACATTTTTAATGTTTACTTTTTAATGTTGGAATTGGTGTGGCTTCACATTAAGTACATGTATCAGCCCGGCTCATTCACACATTGGCCAATGAAGTGTGCAGCTGCAGCATCAGTCAATAGTGAGAGTTCTAGATAACAATTTTTGAAAACTGGACAAGGCGGATGCTACCCTTGTTTGTAATTGTTCCGCCCTTTCTTGATGTTAACCACGGTTTAGCACCATCTGCTGTGAAAGTCGATCCAAATTTTTCTGACTTTGTTTGTTGTTGCATAAGCCCTGGCAATATCAGTCACATCAATAGCTAAAGCATGTTTCACAATGTACTTGTGCAGAACTGCTGTTTATGGACAGTTATGAGGACAATCAACAGCATTCCTCTACGGCACAGGCAACTTAAACTTCCCTTCCTGTGACCATACTAAAGCATGAGCCCTGGTTTTTTAAGGAAATCTTTGTGCGTGTTCTGTGGACCTTGTTAGCGATGTTGAAACAAAAATATTTGGAATTGTGACACTGCTGGTCTGTGCGTAGGTAAACCCGATACATGTACCTGCATGGTTATTTGTTACTGCAAACATTGGCACAGACAAATGTGGTGTTGTGTTGAGCAGTGTATGGTACTATTAGTCACATGTTTAACCATGCCTTTGATTTTATGAGGATCGCTGTTGATTCTTGACTATAGGTCCTGTGCATGAACTAGAGAGATTGATACGTTACAGTGTTCCTAGCAGTGATGTGCTGTAGGGCCAACACATTGCATGCCTTTAACACACTGTAAACATTTGGTGCCAAGTAGGCATGATCTCATGGTGTACTGGCCAAGCATGTCTGCATAGAGTCTATAGTCTATTCTCTGCATCCTCTTTGTGGCGGTTTGTGTTAGTGGTAATATTATTGTACCTGTTGGTGAACCCCCCTTAATGAAATGTCCGTTTTTGAACAATTTAGAGTGATGTCATTGTTTGATGGCCACGTTTTACAAAGCTTCCTAGCTTTGTGTCAGTGACATCTAAGCCTGGTTTATGTTACAAAGGTACGACCCTGAAAGATGCTTCCCCAGGAGCTTTTGTTTAATCTTGATAAGCTTTGGTTTATGTGCATCCAGAAACTTTCACTAGAAGTATTCAGAGAACTCACACGAAGTCTCAGTGGGAAGAAGGATCCTGTCCCTAGTGAGCTTAACGAGCCATTTGCCAGTCAAATGTGAATAGTTCCAGTTACCCACACTTAAATATTTGAATTATCATTCCTACGCACGTCTGGTTACCGTACCGTAATTATGATCGTCATGTCGGTCTCCAGTTTTTGCTGGTTACCCTCAACCGTGCACATCAAAGCAAGAGCTTGTATTGGGTTTTGTTGTAAAGCAACAGTGCATGTTGTCTAAACAGAAAGTCAGTGTTCGACATTGAGATCTAAATCCTGGAGACATGAGGGTTACTCAGAAATGCCATTTTTTATGGAATGTTACATTGGGCGGATGTATATTTTGAATTACATTGATTCAGTGCAAAACCAAGTGTTCAATTCAACGCTAGCCAGCTCTTAACGGTGCATTTTACCCTCATCAGATTCTTTCAGCTGTGGCGCTTTAGTCGAACGAAATCCTTTGTAAAGTTTGGAGAGCATGTTGAATGTCATGCAAGATCACCGTTTAAGGTTTTGCCGTGTCACAGAAGTAACACAGAAATGGCAATCCATCAGTGCTGCTTTTGGAAAAAAGTCTGTAACGCGTCCATTCCCGAAGTGGGTATCTGATCTGATAGGTGACAAGACCATGACTCCATAAGAAAGTCGCCACATTGGATAATATCGACTCGAATATAGGATTTCCGTCAATGTAGACATTTATCGTCTTCAAATGCAATGCACATAGTGTCAGGTTCACTTGCCCTTGCACTTTGTTTTTGAGACGTCACTCAACGTCAGGTGTTAATTAGTGTACACTTTGTGGAGGCTGTTACCTTTGTCTTTTGTGATGATTAATATCTTCATTTTAACCAAAAATTGAGCAAGGAGGTAAAATCTCGGCAGTATCTAAAATATTTTCACAAAACCTTGTAGTGCAAAAAGAGGGAGAAAAGTTGGTGTTGCTTCGTGATTTTAATCGTTATTTGCAAATTATTGCTGGGTTTGATGGCAGAAAGCACGCACGGTAAACATTCAGTCTACATTTTATTCGTTGGCATAGCACTCTCAAAACAAGTCTAACAAATGGTGATTTTTAAAAACCTTCCGATGTAAAAATCACCCAAACCAAGTCTTAGCCAACTGGGATTCGTACTATTTTTCAGCTGTACACACGAAAGAGTTCATTACTGCCTGTATTGATATTAATTAGAATAGGTTATAAAAGGCTTTCTTTCTCGTTAAAATGATACACATGTAATAACACTGTATACCCGTTAATAAAATTTCTTTTTGTCTGTAGAATACCTGTTGCGAAAATTAAAATTGGAAAAACGCTTCCCGCCTTACGTATGTACATTATACTAATTGAAGGTCAAAGGTCATTAGAACGATTGGACTTCATGGAGTGGATGTGAGGTAATCAGAGTAAATACATCTAAAAATGAAACTCAAGCTCTAAGCTTATAGCACAGCAAAATTTAAATGAATACAATTCTGTGATAAGAAGGCAGCAAACAAAAGTCTGGAAGCTTTCTGTTAGTTGATTAGTGGATGAATTAATAACATGAGCAATCTTAATAGAGTGGTCTGTTGTTTATTTCGTGTACACACATTAAAAGGATTAGCACTGTTACCGAATACAAAGAAAACCCTCCGTGTATAAAGTCCAGCTTTATGGAGTTTATTTTCTGGGCCACTGTCAAGTCATTAATTCCAGCTCGAGCAGTGCATACCATAAACGTTTTCCAATCACAGTGAAATCATTTGGGGAATCAGTTTGGCTCTGGTTCGTTCCTCGCCTTCCACCTCGGCGGTTCGGGTTCGAATCCCGGCTCAGTCCACGTGTGGATGTAGTTTTCAGTCGTTACCTGATTCCTTGGGTTTTACCTACAATATTTCTCTGGGCTTTCCTCCCCAGCTCTGCCACCACATGTATATGACTGCTTCTGCCTGTCTTGTCTCCTCTCTTACGGGTATCTTCAGGCTTGCGAGCTAGGGCGTTTTTAAGGAATCCGTGGTGTCGTTTCCAGAAATGATAAATAGTTAAAACAAAGTTTTAGGGACAAGACCAATTGCTTTGTTATAACCAGGACAATGTCACAAAAGGAATGTAAAGAGGATGAAAAGCGTCGGGTTTGGAGAAACTGAGATTGGCAAAATTTATAACAGTATACATGTAGTTAGTTGTTAGTTATTACCGAGAGTCGACTGTACGTATATTTCTTTTGCCTGCATTGTACATGTACAGTACCGGTTCCCATCACTCAGTTTCTGTTTGCTAGCCTCTTCGAAATCAGCTCCATGAGCCACTCATGTCAACGGTCACCGAAGATAATTCACATTTCGATCCTTTTGGCCGATTTTGAGTCTTACAAGCCTGGATCCAGCGTTGTCGTGCTGTTTTAGACTTGCACACGTCACAGCCTGATACAAGTCTATGCACAACCTCAAGCGGCACACGACTTCGGACGTGTCTTGTGTCAATAAACGTTTCCTGCGTTGAGAACTACTCTAATAGATGAGATAGACAGTGCAACGTAGTTTCATATCACGCGAGATTAGAGCTGGGGATTTGATCAAGGAGCTTGTCTGAGATTCAGAAGCTGGCTACGGTCGCTCCTTTTATAGGTGCTGGATAGTGGTACATGTATGTATGGTTTGCAGAGATTCGCCTGGAGTCATTGTCAGTTTGTGATCCGAAGAAGAGCGGCGAGACTAACCTGCCGCTTGTTTACCAGCCCGATTTTGACGCAGTTCATCAGACAGCTCCCCCCCCCCACAATGCGAAGAAGTCAGTTGAATGTGCATTTTGTCTCAGAGCCATGAAATTAATTTTGAAAATGAGAAACTAGTTGTTTTTGTACTTGCTGCATATCTGAATGTACATGTATGTTTGTTGTCGCAGCTACCACCGTTATTGTTACGCAGCTTTATTGTTCAGGTGGCATGTCTGTGTCCTTTTTCCCCTCCAAACCCGACAGTGCAAATAGCTCAGGTGGAAGCAGGGTGGACGATTGTTAACGCACGTATCATTTTGGTTGTGTAAATCACGCTCTGCATTTTCCTTCATCCTAATAATTATGTTTCTCATTTTTCATTTTGAACCATTAAGCAGACAAGGAAGACTTTTTCCTTGTCAAGTTGGCATTATTGGTCAACTACTAAACTAAAATTTCCTAACTGATTTCGAAATGTTTAATAAACCAATAATAGTAATAATTACAGCATATGGGTATATATCTTAGAAATATCCCTCGGTTTAAATTTATTGTTGCCAAGTTTGGGCTGCTGTGCCTGTGTGCCTGAAACACGTAATGACACAGAATATCACCGGGTTCAGAAACCGTTAATAAGAATTCAAGGAGAAGAATCCTCAGGTTATTATTAAAATCTGTTGCTTTGGCAGTTCCTTCATGCAGCAAGTGCCGGAAGTGCCTTGTATGACTTAGTGTCTGTGATTATGCTCAACACAGGTAAATTGACGCGCTTGCATTGGAAAACCAATCAGAAAAAAAACCGCAGTTAATGTGGGGGCGCTGTTGACATTTTTCAGGTACACACTAGTACTAGTGGTATCAGGAACTTCACAGACGTGCCAATTTAACTCAGCAGGACTCAAAGGGTTAAGGATTACCAATATTTGAATGAAGTCAGCTCTCCGAGCATGGCTATCCATATCATTTCTCATGAACTTGCGTTTACATTTGCATCTACTAAAGCAACAATGAAACAAACATTGAAAACATATTGTGACGCCGCGCCCCTCCGACGAAGGCGAGGGCGCCCTCTTCCTCGAGGCGAGGCGCGTCGGACGTACGCCGGAGCTCCCACCAATTAGCCCCTCAACCTACCGAGCCCCTTAACAACACACGCACCACTCGGATTTAGGCACAGTCACACTAGGCTAGGTGACTTTAACCCTTGCACAGGATTCCCGACCCTTACCTCAAGATGGGAAACTTCACCGTGAATACGCGTAAAACGTTGTTATCACAAGTGCGCCATTCTGGTTGGACTACGACTGCGCAGTGCATGTTAATGCCAGGCGCAGGCACCGCGACAGGCACGCGCACACACATGAACGTTCACACTCGAATGGCGCCCATAGTGATAACACCTTCGGCCGAGTTCGGGCGGCTTTTTCTCGTTTGTTCACGAACAGCTTGATTTGTTATTCGTGGGTGGCCGCTCGAACGCTGGAAATGTTATTAGCGCTAGTAGTTATTTGTGGCGAGCAACATGCAACATGGCAGCGTCCCTTGTGCATTCTTCGAGAGTTAATGTTGGATAACTGGGCTTACTTCTTTTCCATTTAAAAATCACTTCTGTGTTGGAAAATTATTAATGTTAATTTTGCCGCGCAAAACTTTCCATTTTCTTCGGCTTTTTAAAGCCATGTCGGTACTTTTTGTGGCTTTTCAAAAATCAAATCTCACGAGTTTTTCCGTATGTTCGTGTGAAATCATGACGAGGATGGTGTGTGATCCTGTTCCGAGAACAGTGTTCTTGGGTCTTGTTCCCGCCGTTCGAGCGCGAGAACACGAAACCCGTGTCAAGAACGGACCGCCCGAATTCGACCTTTATGGCCAAATTACCCATCTTGCGCCGCTACGCGGCGCTACATAATCTTTGATCAGCTTATCAGGACGACTAAACGTTACCTAGGCACGTTTTTATAGCCTTCGTGCTGCTGTGACCACGCCCGCGCACGTGCTCACACACCTCACGTAACCAAGCAGTGACTTCCGCTGTCCTATCACACTACGCACAAGGTGGAGCCTATGCGCCGCGCTCGCTTAACACACAGCTAGCTATGTGCGCCTAACATCTGCCTCTGTTACTGGGCAGAGCGCCATCTATAACTTTGCACCGCGCCTAGTGACTAGCGCCCTCTGTCATGTCACAATATCAAAGAATTAAACAAAAGCAAGTCGAACGCAGATACGAAGAGCACTGTTCATACGAGGTCATATTTATGGCAAAGACAATTGTAGGTCCCAAGTCTTTGTTTTTTCACAACTGATAACACAAGGTGAATATTATAACAAGGTAATTTGTTAAGTTCCAAGGACTTTGTTGTAGCAGTGTTCCACTGTACAGTGTACAAGTATTCGGACAAGTTCAGTGGCCATGACAGGTAGTAGTAAACTGAAATGTCTGTCTAAAACGAGCAGGGGCAAATCCAGGCCCAAAATTTTAGGGAGCCAAATAATAGCCAACACAGATTTTTTTTCATGCAATCGCATTGTCTTTCTGCATTGGTTATGGGGATATAATCTGCATGCTTTTCTTCATACTTCCGGGAGGAAACGCAGTAAGCAGTTATATTTCATGACATGTACTGAAAGACAGTCTCCCGTCGGAAAGGCAGCAAATCCGCTGGAGATGCAAATACGCCTATGACGTTTGTGGAAAGTTTGCAAAGCACTCTTTGTATAATAACTGTACAGAGTGTTTTCAAGCTAGGAAGTTTTATGTACTAAACCATTATTTTTTCGATTAGTTCTTTCTCCACACACTTACGTACTCGTATGGCGACATGAAACTACTTTATTATTGCATGCATATCCTAGGGAGCATTATTACCAGAAAATTGATTGTGACAAGGACAGTACTTTTTAAAGTCTACTAAATATGATTGAGGAATTTCTAACCACAACTATCATCTTCGTGTCTGATTGAGATTCTGTAGGTTAGTTCGTTATGAAACAAGAAGACAAAACAGTTGGGAACCCAAACGTGCACTTATAGAAAATCCATGTATCTTTACATAGACCCTTATGTTAAGTCTCATTACAAAATTAATGTCGTGTTACAGAGGTTCATTTTGTACATGGACAGAAGTTGTTTTCGGACTCCAACACTAACGTTTGTGGAAGACAAAACAGCTTAGGCAAGGTTGAGGGAGGCTACTTGCGCTCACAGAAAACTCATTGTTGAGCAACATAATTTTTAACAGTGTAACCGTTTCATTTCAGCACCCTTTTTAATAGATCTACTCAAAAGATTACGTTTGACTTCAGTATCTGAATAATTATATTATACCAACATTGGTCTTGAAAGTCCTCAGATATAGTCGTTTATGAAATTTTGCTTGTTAGTGCATAGCTGTAAACCTTTTAGTTGACAAATATGAAGGAACATCTTGACATAGTGCAGTTTTCGACATCATGATCATCTGAGCTGTTTCGTTTTTATACGCGACGCCGTGTGCATTGGTAGCTATTTGCGGGCCTAAGAGCCGCCTACATCATATTCAGATTGGTGATTAAGATACACTGTATGGACAAGAGGAATTATGGCGAGTGATGGAAAAGAATTCATAAAGCAGGTAAGTAGTCTTTTCTTATATTCAAGCTAAGAGTTCTCTCAGAACTGTTGGTCACGGTAAAACAAGAAAGCAAATAGTGAAACAGGCAGCAAACAAGACAAGAAAACACAAAGAATTAAGCAAACGAACAAATGAAACGCAAACAAGAGTAGGCCTAGTGCATGAAAGTGATATAAACCAACTTCAATTCCTATACAAGAAAGCTTGCAATCGATAGTCTTGGTTAAAAGATTATGTCTAACATTTCGAGAAAAATGACATTAATGAAAGATCTGATTTCTGTTGATCTTGTTATGAAATGATTAATGAATATAAACAAAGCAAATGGACAGAATAGTGCCCGTTTGTGTTTTTGTGCTCAATTTAATTAGAGTTCCTTAAAATAATTGTAAATTCATTTTCAATCTGCGTAACAGTTCACTCAGCAATAATGTAATAATGTGTCCTATATTTGGAGTACGTTGTTATTTTCCTTCGATTTGTTAATAGCTAATATTTTATTAAACTCTATCTTCCTCATTGTAAAGATACCGACCAGTACAATTCTTCACACGTCAATTCCTGTAATTTAAAGTACAAATAACTATGTTGTCGGGACATGTATAAGCTTTCATGATCACCCGTTTTTCAAGGAGCCATGCATAATACCAGAATTACAAAATGTGAGATAGGAGGCCCTTATAAAAGTGCAATAATAAATTTAGCACATAACGCTCTTAGAAGTGCCTTCTAAAATCCCATGGCTATACACAAGTTTCAAGGAAGAATAGTTTCCCGAGTCCTGATGCCTATTAGGTCTGATTAGGACATGGAACAGCCGTCTATTCCTTCCCATCATCATTATCATCATCATCATCATCATCACCACCACCATCGGTGCCACCTTCAGATTTTTCCTTGTCTTCGACGAATGTGTTTTCCAAGTTGACAGACCGGAGTAACATCACCATCAGTTTGACAGGTATTAAACTGTATTGAAGAAACGGAAGAATACGAGTGTTACTGGTCTAGCCGTTTGGACATGAAATGAAGTTGTGTGGACTGAGGAGGAAACCTGAAAAGCACCTCACAACCATTAATTAATTACCATTTTACCCAGATAACCTTTCTTGCTGGTAATGCTGTTCAGTTGTAAACAGGAAAAAAATGTTCATTATTATCAGGTGTACCATTAACCTCTTTGAGGTATGGCGGACACAATAATGAGGTTTACTCCAAATTAGAAATCTACCCACTACCTAAAGCACTTGGTATTCACAACACGTGAGCATATATGAGTTAGCAGTCACTAGTCTTACCGATGGACCGGTGGGTGACGAGCGCAAATCCCTTGACGCAGGTTGCCATATAATACAAACCATTCGTATCAGTTGGGTCAGCATAGTAATGTTTTTGCCGACAACGGGTCACCGTTCGAATTTATTTTAATTAAATTCCTAAAGGTGTACTATGCTGTGTATGATTAAAACCACATCAAATTGAACAACAAATCAAATTAAAAGAAAGGATTATCGGGTGAATTGACTCTGAGTGTGGAAACTAACTTTTTAACGATGGTCATAAAGTAAGCCGAAGAAGGCACGCACAATACCCGCTTTTCCAGAAGGACGCCCTCTATGATTTCCTCGGCCGCATCATCAGGTCGACTGAGCAATGCTCCCCTGTTTAAGAGTTCACAAATTGCAAACAGTTCACAAAGTCGGAATTTCACACAAGGACTACCGCGCCTGTATAAAATAAAAGTCCTCGGACTGACAACACCCCTGGCGTCTCCAGGTGCAAAATTGGGAGGACGCAAAATAAAATATTTTTCACTCCCAAATGAAGGGTTGTTGTAACTTGCCGCGATTAAATTCCTCAAGAATGAATTTAAAAAGGGCAACTAGTCTAGGACAACTTTCCACCCTCAGGGCCAGTCACCTTTTCACCCCCTCGAATCACCTGACTGCCTGCATTTCGCTTTTAGGAGCCATAGGCTATAGCATCAAGAGTGGGCTTGGTTTCATGGGTAGGGCATGCCGAGGAAAAAATGAAGAAACTGGAGATAACAAGAAACCTTATACGTCCTTTGCACTTCCCTTGTCGCTAAATTCACAATAAACTTGTGCCATTTTCTATAACAAAGGCTTCTAGATTGAAAAAAAAGTTGAATATCGATTTGACAGTGTTTACCCAGTGTTTATACGTCCCAGTATCATGCCTGTTGCAAGTCCACTAGGGCACGCCAGCGTCAATTTAATGGCAGAGTTCTCGTAGGCCAGATCTAGCTGTAAGGATTCGTGGATACCTATCACGGTACACTTGCTGGAAGTGTACGCACCCATAGACCTGTATGGGGCGTAGGCTATGATGCTGCCAATGGTGACAATGTGGCCGCTGTTTTGGGCTTTCATGGCAGGAAGGAAGGCTTTGTGGAGCTGTAAAGGAAAAGTGCTTGAGGTATTACCGTGGCCATGCGTGTTTTGTTTTTATTTTGGTTTTCTTCTGTGTTCTCAAGAATGGTATAGTAAAACCTCTTTGTGGAAATCTGAGACATTTCTCTTCGCTCAATGCTTAGAGAATGAGAGGAAAAAGTGGCTCGAATAAATTATTGTAAACCATTCTGTAAAACTTCAAAAAATGACGTTGCCTACCCAATCGACCCATATACCAAGAACATATCTTGCGTATTTGCTGGCTATTATTTATAAATTTACTTTAATTAAGAAATATTGCTCAGTACTTCTTATGAAACTGGATTGAGCACAAGCATTTGATCGCTGCGGAGAATGGGCAAATGCCTTTTCTATTCCTATACGGATAACTTGGGTATGAGATCAATTTAGATTTAATCAAACGAATTATCAAATGAATCAAATGAATGATCGATTATCCAATAAACTTGAAAATTGCTAAGCATCCTGACAAAAATCAGGACTATTGTGTACTAATTCTGTCGCGGAGCGTGCTGGAATTGGCCTACGACAGGCAGTCTGAGCTTCTCACCCAAAAATGCGAGACGGCGTTGACATCGACAGTTCTTTGGACAACTTCCTCAGAACACTCCAGAACCGGTTTGTAATGTGCTATTCCCGCATTGTTGACCAGCATCGTCACATCGCCGACCTCTTGTCGAACTCTCTCGGCCGCAGCATACACTTGGTCGGCCTTGCTGACATCCACCGTGTAGGCGTACACGTCTCCGGCGTCTAGCTCTCGTATCATACGCGCTGTTTCCACGTTGTCGTGCTGGTTCACGTCCCAGATCACCACGGTGGCTCTCCTCTTAGCGAATCCTATCGCAAGATGACGACCAAGCCCTGCTCCGCCACCTGTTATTAGAACAATCTCACCTTTTACATCTTTCAGTCGACGGAAGGACGAAGGAACGAAAAGATCGATGCAAGTTTTGAAGAAGGCTTCCATACAGTACCATATCGCATATAACAGCAAGACAACACCCCTTTTAGCTGCCATGTTTGATGTACAAAGTACATGAACACACCGGCTGACTTTGTTAAAGAGGCAAAGTGCAAAATGAAGCAGTCGTTATGGACTGTGGAATCCTTATACAACTTGTATCCTTTTCATCTCGATTTGAAATGAATCGTATTTTTAACTGTTATTCATATGTCTGGATGTCTAAAATGATATTCATGGCTTTTAAACAAGCTGTTTCGTCCCATTTACTGATGAAAACGTATAGCTTCACAAATGGACTGAAAGTCGTTTTCCCGAGCGGGATAGAATTGCTATCGACAGGAGCTATGCATAATGCATAATTTGGATGCAGTTCTTGTAAACGTTCCTTTGTTAATCCAACTTCATTTTTGTTGTGCCACTTTGAGGGCATTGTGGAACTGTTTATTTTTGCACTAATGCAAACTTGCTTATTTGTGAGCAAAAGTGTGACGTCATTTAAGGCAGAGTTACCAAATTCTGCACTAAAATTTCCCCAAATTTCGGATATTTTACTGTCGTAAAAATTTTGTGTACTTTGGGGCTGTGTTTTTCTCATTCAGTTCGTGACAGTAAGGCAATGAACGAGGTTTTTGGGTACAGATGTTTCCAACGAACACATTTTTGGTCTACAATTTGAACGGACCCCCCATCACCACAGCAACAGTACCGTCACTATTTAAAAAACAAGAACAAAACAAAAACAGAGATATCTTTAAAAGTGCACTTTTCAAATAAAAGTAACCCAAAAAGTATGCTAGACAGTTTTCCTACATTTAGGAGAAGTAAAAGCTTGCACAGATGTGCTCTCTGATAAAATTAAGACCATGGCCCTTTGACACTGCAACGGACAGTAATCATAACAGCTAGATCTGTTGAAACATCTTACATTTATTGGTTCAACTGCTCGAAACATGAAAACGCTACCTATTGCCACAATGCCATGCATTTCAAATAACAGGATAACTCGTCTAAGCGTTAAACATGCCTGACTACACTGACACATGAAAAAGTTGTACCATCACTACCGTAATAAAATTAGTAATCTTTGTTTTTCCAAGAATGAAATGGGTAACTGCAGCATAATATCACACATAGAGTCAGAACAGTTTTAGTTCTATATATGACAGAAGCTTCTATTGCAACTTAGCGGTATATTGCCAATGCTTTAAGACATGACGACACCACATACTGTGCGTGTCTTGGTGTTTCTCTGCTCTACTGCGGAGGGTTCTAATTCTTTCTACACAGCGACACGATAAATTCTGTGTGAGAATAAATCAAATTGCTTCACACGTTCAAATAAAAAATTTAAACAATTGAGACAAATATTTGTGATCTCAGAAAAGCGTTTGACAGATGGAATGAAATGTAAACAATTGTTTATAAGGAAAATCCAAATGTTGCCCCCCTTCCCCACTCCAAACCTGAATATGTCTCTAAATGCCCCACTCCCAGTGGCGTAGATCTGTTCTGGAAAAATTAGGGGGAATGGCGAAAGGTGTGGGGGGGGATAACTCACCTGGCCGTGGAAATTTGAAAAGCGGGGGGG